AGTTACATTTTTTATTTGAAATATTTTTTTCTACGGCGTACAGGTTCTTGGTAAACAGTTTTACCCCTTTACGAGGGGGGTTTAAGGTGGAAGCCCGGGGGTTAAAGTTTTAAACTTTTTTGCATCTTTTTGGGGTCTCAAAAATTGATATTCTCGGCAAAATTCAGCTTGTTCGTATGGTTTTTAGGGGTCAAATCTCTGATGACTGGATTAAATGGCTGAATTATAAGTCATGCGCAGTACAACAGCGAGCGCGTTATTTAAAACTTTCATTACTGATAATAAATTAAAATTACTGATAATAACTAACTTGAATTACTGATAATAAATTAAAATTTAAAAAATTGTGAATGGTCGTTTATATTAATATAAATATTAATAACTACATAAAGAGTTTTTTTATATTATTTTTTAAAGATAAAATATATAGAATTAGGGTAATAATTTCTAAATAATAACTTACAATAATAACTAGGCTTTTTTGTCATGTATCGAGCGCATGCGTAGCCGCCATGTTTTTCGTACTGTTTTGATCAAAAATGGAGAGGTTAGGCATCATTATTTGTCCAAAGATTAGAGAGTAACAAAGAAGAGAGTAACGAGATTTTGTTACTCCTTTATAAGTAAAGGCTTTGGAAAATTTATAAAATAATATGTATTATTTTTAAATGATTTATAACGTGTATCACTCCAATTTTATCAATTACTTTATTACAAATAAAGTAATTGATATCAATTACTTTATTACAAATAAAGTAGTTGATGAAGGAAAGATTCCTCAAGAATGGTACAACTCCGAGGTCATTTTACTATTCAAGAAAGGAGACAAAGCAAACATCGAGAATTACCGACCAATATCCTTGCTATCACATCTGTATAAATTACTAACTAAAATCATAACCAACCGCCTAACACATAAGCTCGATTTCTATCAACCTATCGAGCAGGCTGGATTCAGAAAACATGTTAATACCATAGACCACTTGCACACCGTAAGAACACTGATAGAAAAATGCACCGAGTATAATGTTCCAATTCATATGGCGTTCGTCGATTTCCATAAAGCATTCGATTCCATCGAATTATGGGCAGTGCTTGGATCTCTAGAAAATGCACGCATAGATTCAAGATACACTAACATAATTAAAAACATATATGAAAATGCCACCATGCATATAAAGGTGGACGAAAGCACAAAAACTAATCACATAAGACTACAACGAGGAGTAAGACAAGGAGACACCATCTCTCCCAAACTATTTACCCTTGCTCTAGAAGATATTTTTAAGAAACTGGAATGGAACAATAAGGGTATCAACGTCGACGGATCATACGTAAACCACTTGAGATTCGCAGATGACATAGTTTTAATAGCCGATAATATCCAAGAACTAAATGATATGTTACAACAATTAAATGCAGTTTCAGGAGCGGTAGGCTTAAAAATGAATTACAGCAAAACAAAAATACTGAGCCGAGACTATACAGATATAACAATACAAAATCATACCATAGAAAATGTTGAACATTATGTATATCTAGGTCATGTTATCAAACTAGGAAAACCAAATCAAGATGCTGAAATTAAAAGAAGAACACAACTGGCATGGGGCACTTTCGGCAAACTAGCACATATCTTGAAAAACACCTCCATTCCTATAAACTTAAAGAATAAGGTGTATAACACATGTATACTACCAGTTTGTACCTACGGCTTGGAGACAGTAGCCCATAAAAAATCTGCTAAAAATTAGAAACAACGCAAAGAGCAATAGAACGAATCATGCTTGGAATATCACTAAGAGAAGATTAGAATCACCGAGATAAAACGTAGAACGAAGACTATGGATATTGTGGAAGAAATTACAAAAATGAAATGGCACTGGGCAGGTCACGTAGCCCGATATAATGACAACAGGTGGACACGGAGAATTCTAGAATGGAGACCAAGGACGACAACAAGAAGCATGGGAAGACCTCAAAAAAGATGGGTAGATGACATAAGAGCAGTGGCAGGCAAACAGTGGATTAGATTGGCACAAGATAGAGAAAGATGGAAGCAATTGGGAGAGACCTACATTCAGAAGTGGATGGAAAATGGTTGACAAAGAAGAAGATCACTCCAATATACTACATAACGACACATTAATATTAATTGATTAAAACAACTCATTTCCTAATTGAGGCACTTTATTCCTTATTTTTGTATTTTTTTTTTCAATAACTATACTTTCTTTTTCTTAATTATATACTCACAGGTTTATTGTTATTTATATTACTAACCTAACCTACCATGCTTGTTTACAACAAACTGTACGAAAAGAAAAAAGACGAAAAGATGTGTGATGAAAAGGCCTATTAATTGCTGAAAAACCATATTAAAATATACTATGTTCTGTAAATTTTTGTTGTGAACCCAAATCTGTGTCCAAAATGGCATTTCATCATCATCAGTGGTGCTACAGCTCTAGTTGAGCCTTGACCTTCCCCAGTCTATTTCGCCAGTCGTTTCTGTTCATCGCCAACCGTTGCCAATTTGCCGCGCCGATTTTCCTTGCGTCCTCGTCCACACCGTCCCTCCATCTCAGTCGTGGTCTGCCTCTACTCCTATTTCCCACTGGGACCGATAATAGAGTTCGTCTGGGTGGGTAATTTTCATTTGCTCTTGACACATGTCCAGCCCATCTAAGCCTACATATTTTTATGAAGGATATTACATCTCTACCATTTACTATTTTTTTATACTTCTCGTACAATTCGAAATTATATCGCCTTCTCCAAATACCATTCTCACAGAATGCGCCCATTATTCTTCTTAGTATCTTCCTTTCGAAGACGAGCAGAAGATTTGCGTCTGTTTTGGAGATGGTCCATGTTTCTGACCCATATGTCAGCACTGGTAGGATGAGTGTTCGATATATTATTAGTTTGTTTTTCTGGCTTAAATTTCTGTTTTTTAGCTGCTTGCTTAGTCCAAAATAACATTTGTTTGCTAGCAGTACCCTCCGTTTAACTTCTTCAGATGTGTCATTATCGTTTGTTATGAGAGAACCCAAATATGTAAACTTATTTACTACCTCAAAATTATATTGGTCTATACTGAAGTTTTGTTCGGCGTTTCTAGCTCTATCTCTGTTATTTGGAATAGATGCTAACATTTTGGTTTTTTCCTCGTTTATTTTAAGTCCCATATTTTGTGCGGCTGTCAAGAAGGTGGAAGTCATCTCTTTAAGTCCTCGTGTAGTACGTGCGATCAAATCCAGATCGTCAGCGTAAGCCATAATCTGCGTTGATTTATTAAAGATTGTTCCCCTATTGTGTAACTCGGCATCTCTTATAGTCTTTTCTAACGCTATATTAAAGAGAAGGCACGCCAGCGCGTCTCCCTGCCGTAACCCTGCATATGTTTCAAACGCTTGTGACATATCGCCTTGTATTTGCACTCTGCAGATCACTTTACTCATAGTTGTTTTTACGAGCCTTATTAATTTATGGGGAATGTTAAGTTCATTCATGGCTTCGTATAATTTACCTCTTAGGACGCTATCATACGCTGACTTAAAGTCCACAAAGAGATGGAACGTGTCAATATTAAATTCATTGGTTTTTTCTAAGATTTGACGTAGCACAAAAATCTGGTCAATTGTTGACCTACCTGGCCTAAAACCGCTTTGATACTCACCAAGGATTTCTTCCACGTACGTACTTAAACGGCTGTACAGGGTGTTGGAGAATATTTTGTACATTGTATTCAGAAGAGTTATACCCCTATAATTTTTACATTCCAACAAATCTCCCTTTTTGTGCAGTGGACATATGATTCCAGTGCACCATTCCTCTGGCATTTGTTCTTCTTCCCAGACTTTGACTATTATGTTGTGAATTTGGTGCATAATGCTGTTACCTCCATGTTTGATGAGCTCTGCGGGGATACAATCCACTCCTGGGGACTTGCTATTTTTGAGTCGTGTGATTGCGTCTTTCACTTCAAATATTGAAGGAGGTTCTACGTGAGTGTTATTTCTTGGTCTTTGGGGTGACGCATCATTTTCCACTTCGGTACCAGGTAGTTCTTTGAAGTGCTCAACCCATCTGCTTTGTACTGCGTCAGCGGTACTGACTATATGTCCATTTTTTGTCTCTACACATCGTCAGCCGTGGTTTAAAAATGGCAAAATGGCATTTAGGTTGGGAAAATAGTGAGAAATTGCAAAAAACTGTCAAAAAAGACGTAACATTTCGGATTTTTTTTTAATGTTAGTAATTCAAGTAATGTAATACCATTTAATCCTCTGATATAAGTGCTATGCTTATTTTTACTCTAAAGTATACACTTTTTAACGTTTACTAAATTATGAAAGAAAAAAAAGGAAATTTTTCCAATGGAAAATGTATTTTTAGGTATTTTTTTGATTTTCTAGAGCCCGCTATATAACTAACTTGCCTAACTTACCTTGCTTGTGCTGAGACTCAATACACCGACCACACTAGGACAACGAGTCTCTCGATCCACATTCACAAGCACAACACGCATTACAAGACACAGAAGTAGTCTGTATGCCCTTTAACCGTGGCACCAATAATAAGGAAATGTAGATTAACATGATTAAGGTGTGTTCAAAATCGTAGAGTGTTAACTTCTTTGAAAAGTAACAGAAAAGGCAAACAATCTACTGGGAGACGTACAGGGGATTACTCTTGATATGACTAAATATAGAAATGTAATTTAGAGAAACACATCTGGCTTAACGATAAAGGCAAAGAGAATGACGGTGATTACATGGTTAGACAGAAGCTAGAGAACACTGATTGAACAACCGAATTGTTCAATATTACCGACAATAGTTGGCTATCTGTTTTGTAGATTAGTTTTCATGTCGTAAAAACATTTGAAAGTAACCTCAAATATTATTCGGTATATATAACATAACTACCTTTCTGATTATTTGTTACACTTTTTTAAACATATGTTCCATAACTTGATAAATATAACATCTTACCCTTCCATGGACCTCAGATAATGCAACATGAACTTGTGGGGATGAGTTGTACTGACTTCAAATTTCAATATTCTCATTATTAACAATTCGGCTTGAACAATGGCGTCTCTCATACTCCAATATTCGTCGCCAATTTCCAGCAGACTGCTTCCTCTATGCAGTGTATTGTGAGCTACGTTGATAATATCTCTAATTTTCAGGGGATCATCTTTGACTTTTCCTGCCAGGTATAGTGAGGAAGAAGCTATCAACTAAAAAAAACATACACAATTATTTATTTTTGATTCTAACCAAACATGACTGATGGCGTCTTTTAACATGAGTTCTCCGTATTTCATAAACCTACCCATACTGACACAACTACACACTATTCATCATCCCATCCTACACAACATAAATTGGCTGTCTACCATAGCATGTTACATATATTAATAGAAATTCCCATGGCAAAAAATCACTTCGAGATAGAACTGAATATCATTAAGCAAATAGCAGTAAACAATCGGTACAACCAACACACAATAAATAAAAATTTAAATCAAAAACTACATAAGAAAGCCCTGAAATAAGTATTTCCACTAACAAAGAAAAAACCCAGTACCTTCTGCTCGATTACATATACAAGCAAGATATCAACAAAAATAGCCAGAGAAAAGAAAGGAATAACACCAGCTTTTAGAACAAACAACAACTTATGCAAATATATTAAAAACAACAAGAACCAAAAGAAAAAGCAATTACACAGCAGTGTGTACAAACGAAAACGTTTTTTTTACAAATCGCATCAACCCGAAGGTTATTAGCGAGAATGATATTTACAATATTAAATATATTATATGTTAACAAAATTAATAGCTTTTAAGTAGTTTAACATATTTGTGAATGAACAATTTGCACCAAGTGCTTTCTCTAAGTTTATTGAGATACCATAATTGATTCTTGCTGTGGAGAAAACTGGACAGTCTATGACAACATGTTTGTGACAAACATGAGTTTAACGTTACACTGCTCACATTTTGGTTCGGATTCTTTAGTAATTAGGAACTTGTGCGTGGCACTGGTATGACCTAATCTAAGACGAGTTATTGTCACTTGATCCCTTCTTTTATTGGGGAAGCATCTCCATGATTTAATGTTCGGTTTAATATTCCGAAGATTGCGACACTGAAAGTTCCCACCGGTTTTGCCACTCACTTAGGATCCGCGATTTGATAACACTTGAAACATCACTAGCTATCACGTATTTTACAATAATAGAGTCAGTTCAGTTGACGGCTTCACGCACACACTTATCTGCTTCTTCATTACCTCTAATACCAATATGTGATGGGATCCAAATAAATATTACCTCCTTATTACAATTTTCTATCTCCATCAGATTTTGTTTTATTTTTTCAAGAGTATAATTCTCTGGGTATATTCTTCCTATAGATTGAATATTGATATTAAATAGTGAGTTTAGTGAATCAGTCAAAATTATATATTTCTGATTTGGTGAGGATATAATATATGTGAGTGCCTCGTATATGGCATATAATTCTGCATTAAGAGTACTATAGTGTATTGGCAACTTATATTTTTGACACATACTAGAGGATATAACTGCTGCTCCCACGCCATCTGTTTTTGATTTTGAAGCATCCGTATAAATTTGAGAGAAATTTGTATACTTTGATAATACGTTTTGTAGATTTTGATGTATTATAATATGGTTAGTAGTGTGTTTGTCCAATGATGTTAAGGTAGTTATTATTTTAGGTACTCCCAAAGTCCATGGTGCTGCAGGTTCAAAACTAACGGGAAAGGAAGGAGGTAAGGTGGTGTTCAGAGATGAGAGATCCATTTTGATTCGGTGGTTGAAAGGTTTATGTAGACGTGGTTTATTGGAGAAAAATGTTGATAATCGGTTAAGGTGTGGTTGATATTTGAAGGTGTGGTTGTTAGGATTTGCATTTGATTTAATTGCATAGGTTAACTTTAAGTACATTCTTCTGTGATATAGTGATGGTTCAGCTGCTTCACAATACAGGCTTTCTATTGGTGTGGTTCTGTAAGCTCCCAAGACAATGCGGAGTGCAGTATTGTGTATTGAATCTAAAATTTTAAGGGAAGACTCAGTAGCCAATGAATATGCTATCGCGCCATAGTCTAATTTAGATCTGATTAGAGTTCTGTAGACAGCGAGCATAGTTTGTCTATCTGCCCCCCAGTTTTTTTTTAGATAGTGATTTAAGGATATTAAGTCTTGCTTGGCATTCGATTGCCAATTTTTTAATATGTTCTTTCCAATTTAGATATTGGTCGAATGTCATTCCTAAAAATTTTGGGCTTGTTATATAGTGAGAGTGGAGAGTGATTAGGGTAGCTTTTCTTTGTGAATAATATAAATTGTGTTTTTTCTGTAGAAAATTGAAATCCACAATTTTGCGACCATTCTTCTAGTTGATGTAGAAACGTTTGTAGCATACTCGTGATGTTTTCCATATTTTGGCTTCTCGTATAGATAACAAGGTCGTCTGCGTATAAGAGACCTTTCAGTGGTGAGTTCATATTGGCTAGGACATCATTTATTGTTACTAAAAAAGTGTAGGGCTTAAAACTGATCCTTGAGGAATACCATTCTCTAGTTTTGTTTTTGGTGATAGCATACCATTAGTTTTAAGGTGGAATGATCGATTGGTTAAGAAATTATTAATGAAAGCTATGCAGTGTCCTTTGATATTTAAATTATGTAGTTTTTTAACTATTAGGTATTTCCAAGTGATATCATACGCTCCCTTGATGTCAAAAAATATTGCGACGCATTTTTGATTGGCAGCAAAAGCTTCAAGTACGTCATTTTCTAATGCTAAAATATTGTCCATTGTTGACAGATTTCTACGAAAACCACTTTGATTTGGAATTATTAGGTTTCGATTCTCAAGAGTCCATAAAAGCCTTTTATTTACAATTTTTCCATTAATTTACCCATAGCACATGTCAAAGATATTGGTCTATATGAATTTGGATTACTTTTTGGATTGTTTGGTTTTAAAATTGGTATAATAATAGATTCTGACCATTTTGATGGAAATTTATGTTGCATCCATATTAAATTAAATAACTTTAGTAAGTACTGATGAGCCTTTGAAGGTAAATTTCTTATAAATTTTACCGGAATATCATCAGGTCCCGCTGCCGATTCTTTAAACGAGGTAAGGGCTTCGTTGTACTCTTCCATTGAAAACGGTGAGTTTATAGGACTTTTATCTATTTCGTCGAAATCAATAATTAGTTTATGTTCTTCATGTTGCTTAAGTGTGATAAAACTCTGGTTATACTGGGAATTACTAGACTTATGTTTGTAAGTGTTAGCCATTTCTTCTGCGATTTCGTTGTCGTTGGTAATAACCTTATCTTGAATATTAAGTGAGTTGATTTGAAAACGTTTGGCACTGTTAGAAAGGTACTGAAAATGTCATTTTCGTTTTACTTGACAGCCTTTTAAATATTCTTATATGTTTCTGCCTCTTATTGGTTGATCTAATGTACTGTTATTTTAATAGTTTTTAATTTAATTTAAGAATTATTTAAAATAGCTTAAGAATAAAAAGTTTAAATTTAATAATCAAAATTATGTTTACGACATTCAAGGTCAACACTAACGACCTTACAAATCAAGAACAGATTTTACTTAGACAAAATAACAAATTAATTAATTAACAAATTATCTTTTATATGGAATAAGAAAGATATTTTTATATTTGTTTTCCGGGAATATAAATTATATTTATTTAATAAATATAAACAATGAAAACTTTATATTAAAAACACATTATATTAATACAAAACTAAGGATATTGTATGTTTTATGATAAGATGGCTTTGTCAATTTTGGACTCTAATTTTGTGTAACATCCTTTTGCTTTTAATGTGTACTCGTTCTATATTAATAATTGGTTAAGTTTATTATTCGTACGAAAAATAAATATAGGCATTCACAAAATGTTTAAACTCAGATTCATTTTTTTATTGGGACCTTTTTTCAATGTCTTCAATGTTTTCAATGGTTTCTCGGATAATCCTTGATTTATAGAAGCGGATGGGGCTATGGTTCTAGAGTTTTAAAATCAATTTTGTGACCTGTATGAACATGGTGTTGACCTAGAGCTGACATTTAATCAGAATTTCGAATAGAAATGGAATGTTAATAAATCCTATTTTGGATTCTACGATTTGTTTGACCTATGTAGGATTGGGGACAGTCTGCACAAGGAATTTCAAAAACTCCATGTTGTTCATTTAGAATGTTGTCTTTGATTGTTCTGTCCAATGATTGGCTGTCGCAATAGCTTCAAACTGTCTAACGTATATGGACCAAGAAGACTTCCCATCAAATGGTGGCAATTTGAATCTCATATGATGTGTCGTTTCTTCTCTAGGTGATTCTTCTTTAACTACAGGATCATACACTACAAATAGTGCATTAACTGGTGGTACCACTTTTGTATTAGTATCATGTAATTGTTTGATCTTCTCTTCTATGTAGTTTACATTTTCCTGTATCTTATCGAATTTATAATTGTTCTGTTTACATACTTTAATTATTTGAGAACTTTCGTCGAATCTTCTAGAAACATTTTCAGAAGTTTCTTCAATCATTTGAGAAACATTTTCGAATTTTCCATAAATTATTTTTATTAAAACTGCTTATTCTGCTGACTGAAAGTGAAATGTCTGGGTCATCTCCATTCTTGTTGAGAAATACTTCAGTCGTTCTTGAAGGATCTTCTTGGACCTATTGCAGTCTTCATCACGTTCTTCTAGTTGCTCACGTAACTGATTCACATAATAATACAATTTGTTTAAAATAAACTCCTGGACAAAATTAACGCACCACTCATATTTTTCTCAATAATCTTTATTTATTGATAATTTACTGTACCTGATAAGTTGTCTATGGACCTTGTTTGACAGTGACAGTTGTTATGTAATCTAATAATAGTCTTGTTTTAACAATAATTTGTATTAAACTTCGTTTTAGACTAAAAGTAAGTTAAACTTGGGTGACAAAGAAATTTGTCAATGGAGGAGGCAGTGCGAGCATCGAGTCTCCTAGATGAAGGATAATCGATGCGATATATTGCAGGTTTGTTAGGAAGACATCATTCCAGCATCAGTCGCAAGGTAAAGCGATATAATGAAACAGGGTCGTACCAGCGAAGACCAGGGCAAGGGCGAAAACGTTGCACTAATTAAATTGATGATCGTTTTTTGAGACAACGTGCTCTTAGACATAGGAGAGTCACCAGCAATTTGCTAAAAAATGAAATACCAGAGAACACATGGTTTAGAGACTGAATTTTGCAAGATTGCATCAAAATTGGACCATCGATGATTGGAAACGAGTTCTTTTCTCCGACAAGACTAGAGTAAGCCTAAAAGCTCCAGATAGGTGTTTATTATTATTTCAATGTAACTTAATGTTTTATTTTGTGTTCATATTGTAAATATTTAGATTAATTAAAGTGGTGCGTAAGTTTTGTCCAGGAGTTTATAAATAAATAAAATCACTTTATTCAATTGTTAAAATATAGAAAACTAGTATAAAGCTTGGCGATAGTCTACTGTACCGCCTACTATAACATCTTTTTTTATAATTTCTGACATTTTTTGTTGTAATTTTTGTCTAAGGTTTGCTTTTTATTAAGTAATAAGTATTATTACAAACAAACAACAAATTATATTTTTTGTAAATGCTTTGATTTAATTTTTTAAATTGTAAGAGTGATATTTTTTGTTTATATTACTATGTTCATGAGTTTGTGATTTTTTTTATAATAGTAAATATAAATATATAATATATAATATATACAAATAGTTTTGTAAAGTACATATCTTTACATTGAAATATTATTGTAAGTAAATGGTATTCAAAATGTTCTGATTAACTTAATATAGAAGTTCTTTAAAAGCAATATAGCAAAATTTTGTTAAAAAATATCTCTAGTCCGCAATTTTTTTTAAACGAAACTTCTATACTGGCGTTGTATTACTTTTTTCTCTACAGTAAAATGTTAAGGCGAGCGTCACGGAACTAGCGCCACAAGATGGCGTCGTCACGGATAACAACGTGGCGTCACAAAATAGTGGTTCTTTATCGATTCTCGATCAATTTGTTTTAAGTCATCATATATTTACTCTAAGCAGGTTCTAAGCAGTACTAAAAACTGCATTAAAAATAACTAATAAAATATAGACATTAATCATTATAATTATGACACTATCTGTAGGAAAAATAACATATAATCAGTAGACAGAAATCCAACAAAGAGTTCGGTAATTAAACAGTTTGAAGGAGGAACAAACATGAATGTCACACAGAAGGTAACTGTTGTCTACTATGGAAAAATTTCTAGAAAAATTGAGTATCAAAAATCCATGAACGAAAATAAATAATCCATAACAAGATTCTACACAAATGAACAGCATACTAGATAACGAAAAAAAAAGACGATAGTATACCAGAACAACAAATCCGCTTTCTCCACGCGTGATACGAAAAAAAACCTATTGATTTTAACTTAAAGGTTGTACTTACAAAAGGATCATAATTTGCAGGATCGACTTCTTTAAAGAACCGGTGCATAATAATAGCAGCAGTGGCCACCGTAAGTGGCTGTCCATTTAACTTAATTCCACACTCGAATATAAACCTGGCAGCCGTGTACCCGTTATTGAACTCAAGTGATTTGTAATCCATCGGGACATTCTTCCGGTTCTTCTCACGCTGCAGTTCCATTACATCAATAACGTCCTTCATCTGTAAAAGAATAATATAGAAGCGGCAACTGAAAAATTTGTTATTTTGTGATATGACTTAGTGATGTGACATTAAGTAAAACAATTTTTGTGTTTATAATCGTTAAATTTAACTTAAATTGTTTAATATCGAGGTCATCAATGTTGACCAAAAATAAATTTAGAAACAATACAATATGAGCAAATAACAATGTCTACTGGTGACGACGATGATTAAATGTTAGTGGTAAATATCATAGATAATCGCAGTTCATTAACTGATAGTCCATAGCAATGCAAAATATAATAGGAATTATTAATTACTGAATGCGTCACCTGTACTGACGTCACACTACTGTGTTTAGTTTTGTTAATAATTTTTTTTTATTTATTCCATGAAAGTTCAAATGTCATTTACTTATTTATAAAAAAAAGGAAACAGCAAAAAATAAACAAATGTAAAAATGTTAGTGTGAGGAGGTTAGAAAATGGTTCTCATGAAATAGATTTTTTAATTTTCGTTTGAAGGCATTGACATTCATTGCCTTCACTAGGTCCGGGATACGGTTGTATACTTTGTTTCAAAGTGACTAGTCTGTATATGGTAAGATATGCAATGCTAACCTTATGGGAATTTCGCGAAGACGTTGCCAGTTTTATGCAGTGAGCGATGGCGCTCTTTATTGTCTATCTTTCAAAATAAACGGAATTTACTTCTTCTTCTTAACGTGCCCTATCAAGTCCCCTTGACTTTGGCGATTAAAATAGCGAAACTGTCTCTGTCTCGAGCTATTCTAAAGAGATGCTCAGCTTTCTTTATTCCTGTCCACTCTCTGATATTCTTCAACCAAGAGGCCTGCTTTCTACCAATTCCTCTGTGTCCTTCGATTTTACCCATCATAATGAGTTGAAGAATATTATATCGGTCTCCCCTTACTACGTGTCCAAAATAGGCCATCTTTCTACATTTGATGTTATCAAGCAGCTCGCGAGCAGCATTTGCTCTCTCAAGGACTGCCACATTTGTCACCATAGCCATCCATGCAATTTTTAGTATACGTCTGTGCAGCCACATTTCAAAGGCCTCCAGATGATTATTGGTGGATATTTTTAATGTCCATGCTTCGACACCGTATAAGAGGACTGACCAAGTGTAGCATTTAACCATACGCTTTCGAAGTTGAAGTTTCAAGTTATCATTACAGAAGAATGACCTCATTTTTTAAAATGTCGTGCGGGCTATCTCGATTCTACATTTTATCTCTTGATTTGGATCTAGTTGTTCAGTAATATGGCAACCAAGATATTTAAAACTGGACACTCTTTGAATTATATGACGATCAACATATAATTGTGCATCTTGATGTGCTAAATGACTAAACACCATGTGTTTTGTTTTTGAACATTTTATGTTTAGGCCAAACTCTCTTCCCACTGTATCAATGGCATTTAAAAGGCATTGTAATTCATTCATGTTATCACTTAAAATAACTGTATCATCTGCATATCTGATTGTATTTATCAGAATTCCATTAACTTTCACGCCCCATTCCAAATTATGCATATTACTATATTAATAATATTATAAACTATATAACAATTGATGTAACATTGTTATGAAAAGTCACATACAGCAACTTAATAACAACATAAAACTGACAACAACTTACAAATAATAAATGATTTTAAAAAACTGTAAAATGAAATGAAAAAGGTAAAGATTAATTCTAATGACAGAGTAATCTTGACTTCAAGAAATCCTGCAAAAACCATGTAGACCATCATAAATAGACAATGAAGAATACCTGGTGTTCTAAGTCAGGCTCATAACATCACTTCAGATGAGTGTAATAATCATTTTTCTCAAATTGTCCACAACTTAATAAAAGATATACCTAAATTAAAAATGGATTTTTTGAAGAACATCAATGTAAATCCGTCAAAGAGCTTTTCCGTTTCTGAAGTATCATTCAATCAGACCCAGGAAATGATAAGACAGCTTAAAAAATGAAAAAAAAGTGCTATTATAATACCCAGTTATTTAAAAAATGAGTCATCTCTAAAATAGTCGAAAAGGCCATGGCTTTGTGAATTTTTTCGAAAGTAATAATTATTGCTCAGGATCACAGTTCAGTATCAGGAAGAAAAGGAGTACAACTCTTGGCATTCTTGACCTAATGTCCCACATCTTGGAATCCATTAATATGTGAATTCTTAATATGTAAAATCTGTGAGGATGTCTAAAGTGTTGTCAGGGGAGAGTGTTGTTAATATTGGTGTTCTTCACAGCTCTGTCCTTGGACCCATACTATTTCTAATATATATATATATATATATATATATATATATATATTTATATATATATATATATATATATATATATATATATATATGTATATATATATTAATAACCTTACAAACATTGAATCAAACTCTACATTGATAACACCACAATCTCCTTCACGGCTAACACACTTTAGTACTCCCTCAGGGGTTTCAGGTCTGCACTGTCAGACACCAAAGTGTGGTTCTGTGTTAACAAGCTCCTGCTTAATGATGCAAAGACCACCAGGCTTGTTTTTGCTCTTAGGGACACTCGGGCTGAAAACACAGATGTGAAAAGTGTGAAGTTTTTTAGGGTACACCTAGACACCACGCTTCAGTAGAGTCAACATATTGACTATCTGAGTAAAAAACTAGCAAAAACTTATACATGCTCAGAAATCTAGTATCAGGTGTTTCACACAAGGTCTTACGAACAGCTTATTATGCCATTTTTCACTCTCATCTGACATATGCAATCTTGGTCTGGGTGCATTTGGCGGGAATGTTGAGTCTTTAGTTTGCAATGTAAGGAATTCTTGATGTCCTTGGGTTTAGGGACAATTGCAGATTGGCATATGGGACTCTGCAAATTCTTATTATGCCCTCCTTATATATCTGTGAGATCCTTGTGTTTGTTAACAGGAAAGGAGGGCATTTTGGGAGCCGTTACGAGGTGCACAATCATAACACTAGACACAGGTGTGATCTTGTTCCAGCCTACTGGAGGCTAAAGAGGTTTCAAACTGGATCAGGGTATTGGGCAATTAAATTGTATTTGCAAGAAATTGCCTGATAACTTCAAGGATCTTCCCACAACTCAATTTAAAAGTGAAATTTTAATAAAAAATGTATTTTATAGTAGTGGGGAATATCTGAAATTTCAATTTTAAACTATTTTAACTAAAACTGATATGTGTTTTTATGTAATTAGAATTTAAGATTTTTTAATAGGACTATTGTTCTGCTTTTATTTTGACACGTGTTAGGCTACTGGCAAACTACATCAATAGTTAAATTTGAATTAATAAACAGATGAATTTGGTATGGTATACTTTAAGTATTATCACAATCTTCTTCTTCTTTGAGTGCCTTCTTCTATTGAACATCAGCAATTTCTCTGTCTTGGGTCTCAGCAAACCATTTTGGGTCCAAGCCTCTCCAATCTCATATGTTCTTAAGTCTGGAGCACTATCTATGTCCTGGTTTGCTTTTACCTTTGATCTTAACTTCTATTATCAATCAGCCAATCGCGTCCACTGCTGGACATAGGCCTCCCTCAGTTCTTTCCAGTGTTCTCTACATTGGGCCGCTTGTAGCCAGTTTCCCGCTACATGTTTAATGTCATCGGTCCATCTAGTCGGTGGTCGTCCTCGGCTTCTTTTATAATTTCTGGGCCTCCATTCCATAATACGTCTTGTCCACCGTCCATCTTGTGTTCTGGCTAAGTGCCCTGCCCAGTTCCACTTAAGCATCATGGTTCTTTCGATGACGTCTTGAACTCCTGATCTTCGCCTGATTTGTTGGTTTGTTATGTGGTCTCGAATGCTCACGTTCAGCATTGCACGTTCCATGGCTCGTTGTGTAACTCTAAGTTTATTCGCAGATTTTTGCGTGAGTGTTAAAGTCTCTGCTCCGTAAGTTTGTACAGGTAAAACACATTGGTTATAAACCTTTCGCTTGAGACACATGGGAATTGAACTTTTTAGAATATGGCTTAATTTGCCAAATGCTGCCCATGTTAGACCTATTCGCCTCTGTATTTCATGTGTTTGATTATTACTTGTGAACTTCTATTATGAGTTTAGGGAAATGATATCTATCATGTCTCATTACATGATCAAGATATGCAGTTTTCCATTTTTTTAATGATTTCAATTAGCTCACATTCCCTACCCAATTGATACAAAACTTTCACATTGGGGGCTTGGGCAGTACAAGGTATTAACAATTTTTTTTTCAATAAACACATATTTCAAACCTCCCAAGTCTATTCAGACAGCTAACCTTTAGTATCCACAATATAAACAGCACTTAAAAAGCTGTGATCTATCATGTACAATGTTACATATTTTTATACATATACATAAAATATACATAATAACAACTTGACAACAATGTCATCATTTTAAAGCCTGCATATATCTGAGAACTTAGTGACTACAACTTTAAAATCAGACTTGTACTTTTCTTATCAAAAAATTGTTAAAATTTAAAAAGAATTTGGTGCAATATAATATAAACCAGTTAAGTGATTTTATTTAATGTCATATAAAATGATTTGAAAAACCATTTGCAAATCAACACTAGTAAACAGTTTTGTTAAAGTTAAATGGTCATTATTAAATTAAATGTCAACCCCAGGGTCAAAGGAATATTTGACTTTTATGTGTGAGATATTATATCAGAAAAAACCATTAAACCTTTTTATCCCTAGTCTCCACAGAGTACTTTTGAATACATTAAATCCAGATAACTTACATCACAATGATTGAGAAAACTTAATTTGAGTTTTATTATCATTTAAAACATGCATCTACAACAAATAAAGTAATTGTAAACTAAACAAATGCAAAACCAGACTTGTAGTTAGTCCAGACTCATTGACTATTAGACTCATAGACTACAAATTTACAGTACCTAGTTTCAGCTTACTGTTAAAAGACAATAAATAAAATAAGACAAGTCTAAAACCATATTATTACTGTTTGTATTTTGAGAATGATTTCCAAAGTGGAAATTAAAATGTCAATAAACATATTTCTACCTTTAATTGTAGCTTATTCCCAGTTAAATAGTAATTAATTTAAAATGCCACAAGAAAATAGCTTCAGAACGATATTCTAAAAACATAATTGAGTAATTGTAGAAATAACCTGGACGATTAATGGTTACAAAAGTGTTACCAAAGAATATAGACGCTTCTATATTCTTTGGTGTTACACAAGCCAGAAGTTTTGTATTCCTTTCAAGAGTTTGTATTGATGCAGAAATATGCATGATCTTATTTTTGAAATGCAAATGCTGATGAAATTATGAAATGATAAATGTTGCCAATTTTTTTCATACTTCAATCAATTAATTCATAAACCTAAAAGTATTATGTAAAAATTACTGAAACAATTTCTCCATTACTAGGTATTGTTTTCAATATGCCAATATTCTTATATTATTCATATTCATCAGTTGCACACTTCATAAAAGTTATAGATGCTTTTCATAAGTAAAACAAAACTTACCTTTAAAATGTAATTCCTTCAATTATAACCTTAAAGCCGGTTAAGAGCACACTACTGTTATTATAAAAATTTGAAACTGATAATATTTCAAGTTTTAATCAAACAATATTAATAAATGGAGCTGTTTATCTCTAATGTAGAAAGTTAAGGAAGTAATAATATATTTGACCTAAAATCAAACAAAACACAATAACCTATACCTATAGCGATATAATATTGTTGCTGTGATGTTTTTAAAGCTCCTTTTGTACCAAACAACAATTAGAAAATTGTGCAATTTACTCTTGAATAATATACGAAGTTACGAAGATTTTAAATTATTTCTATTTCATTTGACAAAATACAGTTTCAGAAAATTAACAAAAATACAAAATAGTGTATTCGTCTTTAACCAAACACAAGTTTTACCAACCAAAAAATGTGTTATAAAACGTGATAAAACGTGTCAAGCTGTCAAGACTCAAAGTTTGACAATGTCATACGTCATATGTAAATACAAATTTATCTCACATTTGGCCCGTCCGCATTTGGGGCTAGAAACTCTCCCAAATCTGTCTATTGGACTTACTTTACTAGAGGGCTATGTACTGTGAGTTACCATATTTTGTGTATAATAAAATAATAATAGAATAATAGTATAAAGTAAATATGGTAAATGTTTATTAAGATTTTAGAAAAAAAAATTAATTCATAAAAATGACTACAGTGCCTAGTGAAAACTCTAATTTTGTATTTAAAAAACGGTCTATTAAAAACAGAGGCACCAGGAAACGACAAGCTTCGAGTTCTGAAGAAGGTAACAAATATTTTAATAAAAATGTAATAAAGTGAAATATATACAGTATCTATTTTTAGATCCAGAAGAAAATGAACAGAAGGAACAAATAGTTAAGCATAGCAAGCGTAAAATTAAGTCAAATCCAAACATTCAGAGTACTAGTAATACACAAAATCGTGAGCGAAACAGAGAAAAAGAGTCTTCCAGTAGCAGTGATGAAGACTTTCGTGTTAATTATAAATCCAATAAATCAGCTATGTCTGCTGGGCCTTCAGATCAGGGTGCAACAGCAACAGTTGTATGTACAATTTTACAATATTCTCTTTTCATCTTAGCCTATGATTACAGTTTGTGTTACCACATTACTGTTTTGTATATTTGAAAAATGCTTGTAAATTAATACTTTTGGGTGATAAAGATAAGTTATACTCCATTCTACGAATATATGACTGTTTTAAATTTTCTGTCTTACATTTTAAAAAGGTGTCAATTTAAATGGTCCAATGTGCTGAATTGTACAATAGTAAATTCTCTCCATTTTTAAAATACTGTTATGACAGAAAATATGAAGTCATGATATAAATATAGAGTTGATAGTTTATAGAACAGTTGTAATTCAGATTTTGAAGTATATAATTACTATCATTGAGTTTAGTATTGTAGTTGGTTTTTGAATTTAGTGATTTAAATGAAGTGTAACAATACTTAGGTGATTAAATAGTGTAATTTATTTAGTCGAATATTCAATTAGTATTTAAAAAACAAAAAAAAACTTACTTATTTTCTAATTCTCCTAACCTCCTAAAACTATCATCAACCATCAGATTCACAGAACTTTACAATGAGAAAGTACATTAAATATAAAGTTGTCTATATCTAAAAACTTCCCGGCATTTTTGGCTTCAATAAAAAAATACACTACACTAAACTCTCTCTTAACGGCACCTCTCTTCACTGGACACCTCTATACGGATGGTTTTTAAAACTAAAATCAGTCGGCAGTATAATATAAAACTGTATGTAAATTTTCGTTACTTTTTAATCTGTAACGATTCAGTACTTTCACTATCAATAGCTGGTATGTTATACCCGGAACTTTTAAGAGTACATCCACACAAAGCAAACAAATTTTTAAAACTAACAAAGTGAAATATTAGATCCTTTTTCTGGTTTCTGACCCATCATTCTGCCAATTTCTTTTCATTTATATTAAAAATAGTATATTTCTTTTATTACAGTTGCAGTACCTAGTAAAGTAATAAAATAGTGTAATATCAAAAAAACCCGGCTCGCCTCTTTGGTGTTTACATTTCACAGAAACCCAACCCAAATGTCTTATGAACACATTTTGGCTTTATAGACGTCATTGTATTAATTTGTAGGACCGTTTGAGTAAAAATTTTTGTTATTTTCGGATTAAATTTCACAATAAATTTTGCATTAATTACTATTTAACTGGGAATAAGCCACAATTAAAGATAAAAATATGTTTATTGATGTTTCAATTTCCACTTCGGTAATCGTTCTCAAAATACAAACAGTAAATTTACTTTAATTGTGGCTTATTCCCAGTTATATAGTAATTAATTTAAAATGCCACAAGAAAATAGCTTCAGAACAATAAATTTTGAGTCTATCTGAACATCTATTAACTGAAATAATTTTAGTTTAAGTGTCAAACTAACAGTAGATCCATTTTATTGGAATACTGTTTAGACCAATTTACTTTTAAACTTCTAATTGCACAGTAAAATATTCGTTGTCGCAATAATCCAAAACAGTCATATATTCGTGGAATAACCTATATCTACCTTGCCATAACCCTGCCCTGATTGTATTACAGATACCAAAATTATAATCTTTTAGGAAATTGATACAGAAACAGACAGAGATGCCCAAGCAATTTTTGAGAAGAGGTTGGAAATTAATAAAGATCTAGAAGGAAAAGAGGATGATAAAATATATAGAGGTTTAAATAATTATGCTCAATATTACAAACCTAAAGACACAGCTGCTGGAAATGCTAGTTCTGGTATGCCCATTTCTATTGTTTATTAACTTTACCTTATTTAGTATCTAGTTCTACTTATTTGGACATTATTTTTAGGTCTTGTAAGAAAGGGCCCCATAAGAGCACCAGCTAATCTCAGAGCAACAGTAAGATGGGACTACCAACCTGATATATGTAAGGATTACAAAGAAACAGGCTTTTGTGGCTTTGGAGATAGCTGTAAATTTCTTCATGACCGAAGTGATTACAAGCATGGCTGGCAACTAGAAAGAGAATGGAATGAAGGAAGCTATTCTAAAGACAGTGATGATGATACCCGATATGAAATTCATTCTGATGAAGAAGACTTGCCATTTAAATGTATTATTTGTAGGGGAAGTTTTGTAGATCCTGTAGTTTCAAAGTAGGTTTTATTTTATTATTATATGTATTTTTAATTGTTTACTGGTATACTGTATACATTTTATTTAAAAAATGCTTGTATTAGAAAAATAATCAGTCACTAGAGAACTGGTAGAAATAACAAAGCAAGACACTCTAACACTTATATGGATGGATATTACTATACCAGAAAACTTACATACAAAACTGTGCAGTGTGGCCTAGAACCTAGATAAAATCAAAACATTTTGAAGGATTTAGTACCACAAGGATGACAAGATGTAGATATAATCATATAATAAAGTAAAATACTTTACTGTAATATATTCGCCTAACAGAAAAGTATTATATACTCGGTTCGCTAATGCCAGTCCGAACTGTCTAGTGATTTTAGTAATTATGTTTTTACGAAGTTAGTTACTTTTTGACAGACTAGAAGTGGCTGGAAATTATTATACAACCAAGTACACGTGCTCATAGCGTATTTCATTAGAGTATTTCGTCAACCTCTTTTGCAAACTTATACTATGAATTAGAAATTTATAGCATGTATATAGAATGTAAGTTTCTATTATATATAAAAAATATGTTTTATAAAAAAAGTTAGGGTAATTTAGTTTATATCGTTAGGTTGCGCCAAATGTAGGCAACCAACTTAAACTTTTTGTTAGCATTTAGCTGGAGTTTCTTGAGAATATATTTAATATTTTCCAGTTAATTTATTATTATTTTTTAAAGCGATGATAATAATGCTGAATAAGCAATATTTCAAATGATATATAATCACAGGACGTACTTAATATTGTGTTATAAAGTAGGTTAGACAAAAAATATCATAATATTCATATTATAATTTAAAAATATCATTTATCCAAAATATCCAATATCATCAAAAATATAATTAAAACAAATCATAATCTTCTATTATTCCTATTAGAAACTAGTTTTGGACGGCCCAGGATTTTACCTTTTTTATCTAAAGTACTTTATTATGATGATTTTACAATAACACAATATTAAGTACGTTTTGTAATTAAATATCATTTGAAATATTGCTTATTCAGCATTATTATCATCACTTTTAAAAAATAATAAATTAACTGGAAAATAATAAACGTTTATTAAAAATATTCTCTAGAAACTCCAGTTAAATCCTAACAAAAAGTTTAAGTTGGTTGCCTACATTTGGAGCAGCTTAACAATATAAACTAAATTACTGTAACTTTTATCACAACTTTTATTTAATTTTTGATGCCATGCGCTATGTCAAACTGAACTGAACTTATGGGTTTAGTATACACTTCCACTATTTGGAATAATTCTTCTTTGTTTAAAGGAAGAAGTCTGCACTAGTAGTATATTTGAGCTATTAATACTGAGAAGTAGGAATTTTTGTGTTGTAGGTTTCCGATAATGAATCTGTCAAAATATGCCCGAGCTAAGCGAATGGAGAATATAAACACTATTAGAACTAACATGTGATAAATTCATTCACAATCTCTAGATATGCTGAAGAGGTATCTACTTGTTACAAAATCACTTATATTGTAACTGATTATATACAAAAGCATATCAAAAGTAACAAGTAGAAACTCACAAGTACACCTCTAAACAAAAACACTTAATTTGCAGTTTTAAATGCATTGCACAGATATGGATGTTTTAATTGCACACATATGGATTCAGTAATCCTTAAGAATCACATTTATGTTTGTTGAATTTAATTATATAAATATAATTTTTACTTTTAATAGCTCTATGTATGTGTGTTGGTATAATTATAGTGTTGGTTTATAATTATAGTATTATTTAAATAAACTTGAACTGTGAAAATTTTTAAGGTGTTTGCTGTTTTCTATCAATTTAAGTTGATAATATTTAATATTATTTGGACTCTATTCTAATAATTATCTATTATGATGATAAAAGGGTTGCAAGTGTGAGCCCATAATTGAACAGATATATTAATAAGGTCAATACTCACAATCTAATATTTACTTTTAAAGTGTTACAGAAGCAATCAGTTTCGAGGCATACAATATTTGCCTCATCCTCAGGCCCAGCAAAGAGTTCGTTTTGTTAAAAATCAATAATATAGATATCGCCAATAAGAAGTTTTCTGCTTCCATCCAGGGTACTGTATGTCTTCATCTTTTCCTTATGACACTATGATTGTAGTGAGGTGATATGTTGATCATTATACAGTGTTGAAACTACTTATGGAATAAAATTGTTTGTGTCATTATTATAGAAAATAATAAAAAACTCTAGGACACATTTACTTTTAAATTTAAATGTGCACTTCCTAAACATAAATTTAAATATACAGGGTGATCCACGCAAGTCTGTCATAGTCCATCATCTGTATTTTAAATAAAACACCCTATATATTTTTATGTTTTTAAAAACTCCTTACCAACCCGATCTCTACGAACTATATCATGTAGGGTCTATTATGAATAATACAAGGTGAAATTTTGAAATAAAGTGTAATTTTCTTCAAGACAATTAATTCATAGAATATCCAAGGTAATTGATTGTATTACATTAAAATAAATGCTCAAAATGTTCTCCACCTTGTTGTTGGTAAGAACACAGTCTTCTATAAATCTCGCCCCGAACTTTGTTTAAAGTTTGGGGTGAAATATTCCGTATTTCTGTAGTTATCCTTTCTTTGAGGTCTTCAATGCTAGTTGGTTGTGTTGCATATACTTTGTTCTTGAGATAACCCCACAGAAAAAAAATCCAAAGGCGTGAGATCTGGCGACCTAGCTGGCCACTCAATAGTACCACTTCGTTCAATACATTTATTGAAGAAGATTTCATTCAAGTCATTTCTCACCAATAAAGCATAACGGGGTGTTGCACCGTCCTATAGGAACCAGACAGTTTTATGCGGTAGGGTCAGATCTATTGGATTGAAATATAAGTTAGCCAACTGAGGAAGAACATTGTCTCTTAGCATGCTTGCTTAAATATTTTTCCGCTGTCAAATTACCATCTACAAATATAGGACCAATACTATGATCTCCTATAATACCTGACCCAAACATTCAACTTTTGAGGATACTGAGTGTGTGTCTCACGTATCAAATGAGGATTCTCTGCTGACCAATATCTACAGTTTTGTCGGTTAACCTCTTCGTTCAATGTAAATGTTGTAAAAAAATCCATTCTACGATCTGGATCGTCTTCTGTTAGCTCCTGCACAAAAGTCAATTTATATGAATGAAGTGTTTCTTCTTTAAGACAACTTAGGATAGTTGTGTGACTCACATTATTTTGATGTGCAATTTGACGTGAATTTGACGTTGGATTCTCTGCGACACAACAAAATATCCACTTTCGCCTCATCTTTAATGAAGTTCGGTTTTCTTTTTAATGGTTTGACATGTCCAAGTTCTCTGAATTGTGCATAAATTTTAGACGCAGTACCTTGTGAAATATTAGGTAACTGAGGATACCTCTGATTAAATAAGTTTGCTATTTCAACAATTACAATTCAACAGTTACAATTCTCCCAGTAACCGATCATCATTTAAATCTCAATTCGGTGGGTCTCAGTCAGATATTATATTTTTATTTCTGCAAGAAATTAGCTTTTAATTAGGAATGTATTATTTTAATGTAAAATGTCAACACACCAACAACTGATTGATAACAATCCGCATTATTTACCCATTTAGTTTAATTAGCAGACTATATAAACAGTTTTTACGTATTCATGACAAAAAATGTTAACAAGGTTACTAACCAGAAATTTTCCCCAATATACTGACACTTACAGTAGAAGTGTATTATCTGTATTTGGCTAATTTAAAATAATACCATAACACGAGATAAATTATTAATTTCAAAATTTCATCTTGTATTATTCATTATAGACCCTACATGATATAGTTCATTGAAATCAGGTTGTTAACAATCATTTAAAAACATAAAAATATACAGGATATTTTATATCATATATACCATAATCCTTATTTTTCATTAAAAATAAGGATTATGGACTATGTCAAACTTGCGTGGATCACCCTGTACATTGAAATTTATGTTTAAAAAGCGCCCATTTAAATTTAAAAGTTAACGTGTCCCGTTTTTTATTATATTCTATAATAAAGACACAAACAATTTTATTCCATAAGTGGTGTCCACATTGTATGTAAATTGTATGTAAATAAAAGGTCTTTACCTTGTAAGAACCTGTGACAAAAACAACAAAAAAAGAAGATCTTAGTGCATAATATGTGATTGTTCATCTTCCACAAGTTTTTAAACTATATACAATATAACCTGCCACATCCAGATCAATGTGGCGACTGACCGACTGGAAAAAATCCGGATATCAAGACCATTTAAAAATATGTAGCTGTAAACGGCCTGAAATTTATATAATAGTTATTTTCCGCTGCTTTTACACATCGAACACGTTTTTTTGCAGCCATGTCTCTCATCCTTTTTAAGGACATCGCGTCACTTGCACAAGTATCTTCTTGTCTTTGAACGTAGCACAGCAGAGCCTTGAACTATTTCATTGCTTCGGAATGGCTCATCACGACCGAATTTTTGTCAGTGGTTTCATCCCCTTCGAGTTTTTGTCATCATTCTTGCACACCAGGCGACCAGGTTCAATAATTCGCCATTAGAAGGGCATATCTGGATTCATTTCGCATAATGTGTTAAAAGTACTGTAACTTTCGAGATTTGATGGTGGTCAGTACCCCTCGCTTCTTCTTCATTCTTCTCAGGACCTCCTCATTGGTGACTCGGTCAGTCCACGGGATTTTAAGTATTTTCCGATATAGCCACATCTCAAATGCTTTCATTTTTCTGCACATATCAAGCAAGAGAGAGGTTGTGGTTCTTAAAGAAGGCCCCCAATCGGTTGAAGGTGGATCTAGCTTTTGAGGTGGAAATGAGTAGCAATGATAAATAAAAGATACTAAAATATTCTAAATTACATAAACAAAATGGAATATTTTAAAAATGAAACAGTGTAACTCATTTTGCCATTGTACCTATGTAGTTTTCCCGTACGTATTTTTCTTAATTCGATGTTACTTATATGTAATAGTAAAAAGTTTTTTCATCATTTTTAAAGAAAACTTTCGTTTTACATCCGCAAAGTATGTTAGTTTGTGCGTTGTCGCCTATGCAATACTTGGGGACGATCTATCGATGGATTCATATATAGTTTTGTCTCCTGAATCAAAATCTGAAAACGGCATTTTGATATCTCGATCCATCTTCGACATAACTCGTATGAAAGTCAAAAATAGTAGCATCACAATCCTTCTAAATATACATTCGTTTCTACTGACACGAATAAATGTTAAATCGAAATCGAAACGTCGAATAAATAAATTTTATGTATTAATTTTAATGTAATGTGAAATCTATAAGTCTATTATATATAAGAGATCTTTTTCATATCAATAATGATAGTATTATTACTTATTTCCAAATATTGGTCTTAAATGACAGTTGTCAAAAACTAATATTTAATTATACTTCATTGGAAGATTAATCATTGATTACTATTATTTTAATAGAAATCCTAAAAATTATAAATTAATTCATTTCAAATTCAGATGTTATAGACTGTTAGAATCTTAATACAACCCTGTACGATTATATAAACATCAGGTTTCACGTGTTCTGTGTATGTATTTGTTGACGGCTACTTTTCTGTTAAATGAATTTACTATAATTCAGAAGTAAAAAACAATATTTTGTACATTGGTATAAAAACATATATGAAATATATATACAATACATATATGAAAATAAAAATATATATTTTTATTAAAATATTGATACAATACTTCATTTACTCTACTCCTATTACAGGTTAAATGTTTATATACAGCAAACGATGCACCATATACCTGTATAACTAATTCTTTTTCTCTTTGTGCTCTCTCTTACCTATAGCATTACATATGTAATGATTGTGCAGATTGACTACCATATAAATTTGTAACGGCGAACGCGTGTATAGAAGTATAACTTCTACCGGCAGTCCCACTGGACTGCCACACCCGTTTTTTTTATTAAAACTTGTTAAAATTTTCGTCCAAAGATTAGAGATGCATAACATTTTCGATCTAGCGCAGATCATCTTTAATGCATTCTTTTGGTACTTGTAGCTAACACTAAAATTGCAGTGGAGACATCAATATATGGTTTAGATATTAATATTTAAAATATATTGCGACCCTAGGTTGATGACACTGGTTGTAAATGTTAATACTTAAAGAGCAACATGCTTCCTTGCTTGACTGTAACATGTGGTTCTTGTCCGTTTAAACGACACAGCCCAACTGGCTGAGGTCACAGGAAGTAAAATTCAGGAAGACGGCATTAACATGACGAGGTAGTAGTGGATTTTTGAGTATGATGGGAAACTAATGTAATTTTTAAATATAAAATTTTGTAATAGTACCTAATATATTATTAGTAAATATCTTCATATGAAATTACTTTTATTTAAATAATAGTTTTTATTGTCTTAATGTGCAAATCTCTATTATTGAAGAAACAAGTAAGTCATTTTCTTATATATCACTTTTTTATTTCTTACACTATTATGTTTACAGTATAACATCACTTTCTTTCATTTTCTAATTGAATCAATTTTCATACCATTTGTCATAGATTCAACCTCAAATATTGTTTTCACTTATTTAATGACTTACTTGCTTCTTCAATAATAGAGATTTGCACATTAAAACAATAAATAATATTATTTAAATAAAATTAATTTCATCTGAAGACATTTACTAATAATATATGAGGTACTATTACAAATTTTTATATTTAAAAAGTACATTAGTTTCCGATGTCGTCTAGTACCTTGTCATGTTAATGCTGTCTTCCTGAATATTACTTCCTGTCACCTTAGCCAGTTACCACATGTTCCAGTCTAGCAAGGTCTTTAAGTATTAACATTTATAACCAGCGTCATTGATCTAGGGTTGCATTATATTTTAAATTTTAATATGGAAACCATATATTAATGTCTCCACTGCAATTTTAGTGTTAGCTACAAGTACCAAAAGAATGCCCTGAGGATGATCTAAGCTAGATCAAAAACGTTACGCATCTCTAATTTATGGACGAATATTTTAATAAGTTTTAATAAAAAATGGTTTTATACCAATATACAAAATTTTGAAGTTTTTACTTCTGTAGTTTTTTTAATTAATTAAATTAATTTTAAAATACTTTAGCATGGTCTATTATAATGGGTTAATTTGTTAACTAACTGACATCTGGTTTAATATGTGCTTTATTTTATTATTATTTTTTAGATGTAAACATTATTTCTGTGAAAAATGCGCCTTGGAACGTTTTAAAAAGAATAAAAAATGTATTGTTTGCAATACACTAATAACCAGTTTTAATCCAGCAAATAATTTGATTGCTAGGCTGAAAAATATGAACCCAGAAGAAGATGATGTCCATAATGAGTCAGGTTTATCTGATTAATAATTGTAAATAAAAATAATATTTATAATTAAAAAATTTTTATATATTAACTGGTTTTTTATTTGTATTCTAATAAATAGGAGGAATGGAATAATGATTCAGTTGTGCTTATCTTCTTCATAAATAGTCTATGTTACACAGCAAGAAAGCACTAGTGCAATATGGATGATGCAGTTATTATGACCAATAATATTAACACACTGTAGATGATAATATTAACCTGTGTGAGTTTTTGTTAATTCTCTTATTGGGTGCAGTTCCCTACCAATCAGGGATACTCTCTACGCATTCTTAGCACTAATACACAGAGTACAAAATTGAATCATTGAGTAGGGGTAATATATATATATATATATATATATATATATATATATATATATATATATATATATATATATATACTTGCTGTATATACTTGATGTCTTGCTGTACTTAGTATTATTTCTTTAGCCCTTCCTATTACTTTTTTACTTGTTCTTCGAGTATATTCCGTGATTTGACCCTATATCCTATATACCATTATATTAATTTATATATATATATATATATATATATATATATATATATATATATATATATATATATATATTAATATTAATTATAATATTAATATATATTAATTTATATATATATATATATATATATATATATATATATATATATATATATATATATATATAAATTAATATAATGGTATATAGGATATAGGGTCAAATCACGGAATATACTCGAAGAACAAGTAAAAAAGTAATAGGAAGGGCTAAAGAAATAATACTAAGTACAGCAAGACTCCCATAGAATAGTAAAGAATAAAACAGTGCCTAGATACATTAAAACATGAACTCTCTGTTCTGTTTTTTCAGGCGTACTAAGTAGGTGCAAAGGCTGTGACAACACACTTTTTGAGCGTGCCTAGAAAGCATTCGTTGGCCTCTTGGGGCCTTTTCCAGGGGGACTCGTTGAGTCCACTTTGGTTCTGCCTAGCGATGAATCCACTCTCTCAGCTGCTGAACTCTACTAACTCAGGATTTAGCATCAAAAATAACAACACTGTTGTAGCGAAGCTTAATCATCTGTTGTATATGGATAATTTAAAATTAATGGCTTCCACTCGAAACCACCTAGATGAGATGCTAAAAACTGTAGAAAATTTCTCAAATGATATCAGTATGCATTTTGGACCAGACAAGTGCCGTATACTAAATATAGTCAGAGGAAAGGTTCATCCCGGAGGTTTCGATATGCAAGATAGCCAAAACATCGAGGCAATGGGTGAAAATGATATGTACAAATATCTCAGAGTAAAACAAGCGCGGAAAATTGACCATAAACAAATGAAAACGGAACTAACTTCGGAGTTCGTGCGAAGAGTAAGACAACTAAATCGGTCATATCTTAATAGTAAAAATTTGTTTAAGGCATTAAATACGTACGCCTGTTCCGCGCTGAGCTACTCATTTGGTATTATAAAGTGGTCAAAAACGGATGTAGAGGGTCTTCAGCGGGAAGTAAGAACACTTCTCACAAAGGCGCAAAAACATCATCCACGTAGTGCAGTAGAGAGAACAACATTACCGCGGTATCAAGGGGGAAGAGGACTTATGGATATAGGTGAGCAATTAGATAAACAAATTGCTAATTTACGATCTTATTTTCAGGTACAGGCTGAGACATCTACTTTACATCGAGCAATTTGCGCAGTAGATGATATGACGCCGCTTAAACTGAGGGAACAAGAAATGCGCATAAACCACCTGACTCAGCAAGAAAAAATGCGCACCTGGATGAGTAAACCTCTGCATGGGAGACATCTCAATGAGATCAACCAAGAATATGTCGACAGTACAGCGTCGAACTATTGGTTGAAATCAGGAAAGATGTTTCCCGAGACTGAGGGTTTCCTACTTGCCATTCAGGATCAGGTTATTCCAACTAAAAATTACCTGAAATATATTGTTTTAAAGATCCTCAAGTCCAAAACGACAAATGCCGATATGGATGCCAAGCCCAAGAAACCATCCAACATCTTACCGGTGGCTGCCAGGCATTTGTCGGTACTGATTATAAAGAACGCCATGACTCAGTAGGAAAGATTATCCACCAAGAACTAGCTGACAAACTGGGACTTCTCCAAACCGACCATCTTCCTTATTATTAATACGCCCCTGATAGAATGCTTGAAAATGACAACTACAAGCTATACTGGGACCGCACTGTGCTTACAGACCAACTAGTGGCCCATAATAGACCGGATCTCATACTAGTTAATAAACTTACTAGACAAACAACACTTATTGATGTGGCGATACCAATAATTTAGGTGTTAAATACAAGAAAACATCGCCAAGTACAGAGATCTAGAAATACAAATCAGGAGACAATGGAGAATGGAAAGTACCCAGACACTACCTATTGTTCTATCTACTACTGGTGTTGTTCCCAAAAACCTCCTAGCGAACATAAAACAGCTGTGTCTAAATGAACATCTTTATAAGGCCATGCAGAAAGCTGTACTTCTCGCGACGTCCAGATGTGTACGAAAATTTTTGGGAGATACTCCAACATACTAAGTCACCTAGGGCTCGATAACACGGAAAGAGTCCCACCAGAGCTCAATCCTTTTGATACCGTAGGTATCTGGGATGAGTGAATTTTTCCCTTAGAGGGAGTGTGAGCCGTATGGCTAAATCTGGGAAAAATTTATTCATCCTGGAAGATCATTTCATGATATAGGATAAGTCGAATAAAAAAAGTATAAATACATTATAAAACATCACAATTTTAGAATAAAAGGATAAAAAATACATAGAATTAATTATTTACGCCCCCCATATATTCATTTACACTGTGACAGCAAGAAGGACACGGAATCAGGCGGACAAAAATAGAGCAAATAGGTTAAACAGAGAGGTCAAAACAGCACTACAACAACACCTTAGTGAAAGCTGGGAAAACCACATAAGAGACATGGAGGAACAAGGACCAAATATGCAAAATATTTGGAGGCTTCAGAGAGTACTGAGAAATGAAAGAAAGCCAATCCCTCCATTACATGGAGAAAACGGAATAGTCTACACTACTATGGAAAACGCAGAGGTAATGAGCAGTCCTCTCTCTCGAGAGAGTGTAGATTAAATTATAACCCAGACGAGGACATCGACTTCATAGAAGAAGTCGAAAGACAAAGAGAAAGACCCGAAAATCCAAACAAAATCATCCCTCCTACATCACCGAAGGAGTTAAACGAGCTAATTAAAAACAGCTCGCCGAAAAAGGCACCTGGTCGAGATCAAAGAACGAATAAGCTCTAAAATACCTACCAGCGAGAGCCATAGTATATTTAACAAATATAATCAATGCGATGCTAAGATTCAAGAAATTCCCAAACAGATGGAAAGAGGCTCATGTTACAATGTTACCAAAACCCGGAAAAGACATCACATTCCCGCAAAACTACAAGCCAATAAGCTTGCTACCTGCAATCAGCAAGATTGTACAGAGAGTAATACTCAGTAGATTCCAAGCTGAAACAGACAGATTAGATTTAATACCCGAAGCTCAATTCGGTTTCAGATCAGAACACTCCAGTGAGCTACAAGACTTAGATTAACAGAGTACATAGTAGCTGGATTTATTGATTAACTATTGATTAGCTTACATCTAGGCTTCCTAGATGTAAGCCAAGCTTTCAACAGAGTCTGGCATAAAGGACTGATCTACAAAATGTGAAGATACGGTTGCAGCGGGGCTATGACAAGACTACTCTCTTCGTACTTAAGCAATTATTGTAGTTTCAGAGTTCGGATAGAACCTGTCCTATCCGAACTCGGGAACCCGGAGGCTGGAGTGTCACAGGGAGCGATACTGTCACCTCTACTGTACAAAATATATACAGCAGACATATCTAGAACACCAGGTACATTACTAAGCCTCTATGCCGACGACACACCGATAGCGGCCAAACACAGAAACGTAGACATAGCGGTAAACAACTTATAAACAGCGCTAGATGACATAGAAGAATAGAGTTTAAAATGGAAAATCACTATTAACTCCGAAAAGCACAGATGGAATCACAGGGGACCCAAACAACAAATAGTAGATTAAAGACAAACAACTAGAGAGAAAATCAACAAACATACCAGAGAGAAAACAATACAAAAAACAACAATAACAATGCACAAAGAAGATAGTTCGTAGCTCAAAACACTCGTAGACAATAGCAAAGTACAACGTGGGTCCAGTTGCCTTAAGTGGACAAACTCTGTATTGTCATATTGTCACATATTTGCATATATTTTTCAGTGTTATAATATAGATATTGTACTAGTTATGACTTATTGTTTCAGGCTACCTACAAAAAATTTAAAAAACACAAAAACAAAAAAATTTAAAAAACTAACAAAAACCGGCCCGAGTCAACAAAAAAAACTAACAAAAACCCCAAAAATCTGGGCACGTAGAGCCCAACCCCTTGAGCACCAAGTCGCCGAACTGAGCCTAGCTCAGAGCGGAGACTTAAGGCCCAAGTAAGCAATTATTAGTTCGCGGATAAGCCACATTAAGATAACAGGATCATAGTGACAATGCGCTATCCTGAGTTTGATTTCGGTTAGGAAACCATGTTGGAGTTCTATTACCCAGAACTCCCACATGAAGAGCATGTGGCTGATAGTTGTGCGCCTATCACGCATCAGAGTGCTATAGGGGGGAAAGGGATGGTTTGGAGCATTGGAGCGCGGTGGAGTGACTCTTGTTTATACTCGAGTTATTACACCTCGCTCCGTGAACATGTCTCACAGGCTGGGTTTAATTAAATTGCTTGCTTGCAGTACATTTGTTCGGCTGTGGCTGAGCTGATCTAATTTTTGGTTAGGTGTTTTTTGTCCGTAAGTCCAAAGCCTATTTAAATATTAATTTTACTTTTTTGGCAATATAACTATTTTATTTTGTGTTGTAGCGTTTTTTTATTTAAAGTGTATAGAAAAGATTTCTGTGTTACGCTCCTGTTGTTTTTACCAGAGAAAACAATCGAAATAATATTTCAAGT